CGCCACTCTGTTGCCTGGCTACCAGTTTCTCCATAGCTGGCTAAGGAGGCGCTATTTGATCAAACAGCCAAGTAAACAGTTACACTACATTCAATAAAAAAAAATGTCTGAGACAGTTGTCCGTCTCCGGTGGCATGCATCCCCTCAGCATTTGTTGGTATACCCGTCGTCGCCTTCTGTTTATTTTATTTTTCACATCAAGAGTTGTGTCCTTTTTTCTGTTATTTAACTAAGTAAATATCAGACAAAAAAGGAATCCCAAAAACAGAAATATCTGATCAATCGTCCATATCACTGTTTACATTACACTTGCATTACCAAGGCAACGACTGACGCATTTGTATTACATTCCAAAGACAAAGAGCTCCGTTATCAGCACTACAGTGGAAAATGAAACCGTATCCGTGCTGACTGGCCCGGATTGGCACGGAATGGAACGTTTAAGCAAAGAGAACCGTTTGGGCCGATAGTGGAAAAGCGGCTAATGTTAGATTGACATCAGTAGTGCCCTTTAGAACGGTCTCTACCGTTGCGTCGTTGACGCTTATGGAGCGGACTGATCTTTTTAGGTGGATAGGAGGAGAATGCTGTCACTGATGATTCTAGAGGATCCTGACACCCTTCTCCCCAATGGGTTATTACAAGCCGGAGGAGAGCGAACTGATTCGCATTCTCACCAAGCTGTGAAGAATCTTGGCTTAGAATGGGCATCTCGGGAAGAGCCTGCCCGCAGCCGTTTAGACAAATGATGCCTGCTGGGCTGTCGTCAACGAATCTCCTGCTAGAGAACGGTGCAGTTTTTCCCGGAAGTTCACAATGAACTTACCGAGGCGTGGCGCGCCCCTACTCGGTGCATGTCCACTTTTCTATTTCTGCCACCCTCTCCTCTGTTGACGGTGTTAAAGTAAGAGGATGTGGCAAAAGCTCCCCTTAGAGAGGAGAAGGTCGCTGCACACCTCTACCCGCATCTGCCCGCATCTGCCTGGCAGATTTGCAAAGAGATTCACTTCAGCACAGAAGTCATCGCAGGTCATGCGCCACTTCCTGCCTAAGGAAACGTCATTCAAACTGGGGACTTCACGTCCCCTTGGGGCTTTCCAGAGGATGCTCCCTCTGTGATTCCTTCGGGCCTGCTTCACATGCAGCCCCTCCAGTTTTGGCTCAAAGCCCATGTCCTGTCCCATGCTTGACGCCTGGGACGTTTTTATCTCAAGGTAACCCACCACTGCATCAGAGCTGTGGCCTCTTGGAAAACTCCTCACCTGTTTCAGTTTTTCTAGCCCTAAAAACCTTCCTGCCGGCCTACAGGGGCACCATGTCCTGGTCCATTCGGACAACATGACGGTGGTAGCCTTAATCAATTACAGGTGAATTATCTATCCCTTCACAGGTTGGCTCGATGTCTCGTCTTATGGGCACAAGGCAAACTCCTCTTGCTGAGAGCAGTTCATGTGCTGGGCAGACTGAAC